TCCATCCATCCATCCATCCATCCATCCATCCATCCATCCATCCATCCATCCATCCATCCATCCATCCATCCATGAGTATGAGCGTTATGCACAGAAAGAAACGTGCATACCACCACATAAATAATTCTAATGGTTATTCTGAGAGCAAACCCTCAACATGTCCTCTGGAAAATTCTAATATTCTAATATTCTGCTCCACATTCAGGCTCAAGTGCTAAATTCCGGATGTTCTAACTGTAGTCTGGTTCCACTCAATCACCTTTCATGAAGACCACCAAGATGTCCATGAACTCTCTGAAGGAAAGGTATCCGTTGCCGTCTTTGTCAGCAAGAGAAAACATGGATTCCACGAAGACCGACTGGGGCTTGAGGCCCAGAGCGTCCGCAAACTCCGCCCGACTCAGCTCCGACTTCAGTGCTTCCTTGACTTTCTGAGAAGCCTCCACGCCAAGTTCCCCAGCATCTAATCTATCAATGTCCAGAACCTGAAAAAGGCAATATTGACATTCGGTTCCAGGAACTGCTCTCCAGAATTCTCCTACAACGGAGCTGCAACAATCTAAACAAAACCAGGACAACGTTCTCCCTGCCCAGCAAATATTAGGTAACCTTTATTTCATCTTAGTGTCCATCTCAGTGGTTTGGAACATTTATGGAAGGCAGCCTTATGTCACTGTCTTTATTTGAAATTTAATGAAAGAATACACAAGGAATTTCCAACAAAGAAAAGCTCCTTCTCACAATGGCAGAACAAGGAAATATTAATAACCATGAATGGAGGTAGAGGTTTCTTTCAAAACGCTGATGTAGCAACAGCCTCGGGCAAAACTTGCCTTAGCTTCGCCCTAACCTTCTTCCTTGATCGCCTCTGCATGTGTAGCTTGTTTCAACATGGGAAAGACAGTACAGAACAGGCTTTCATGACCAGGATCTGATGGTTGTTGTAAGTTTTTCAGGCTGTTTGGCCATGTTCTGAAGGTTTTTCTTCCTAACGTTTCGCCAGGAAGAAAAACCTTCAGAACATGGCCAAACAGCCCGAAAAACCTACAACCACCAATACTAATAATGCAACCCTGTACAGATCTACTCAGTAGGAACTCCCACTGAGTTCAATAGTTTACAGTGGTGCCTCGCTTGATGAGGATAATCTGTTCCAGTGAAATCACTGTAGAGTGAAATCCTCATCAAGCGAAATAAAAAAGCCAATTGAAACAACATTGAAAACTGTTCAATGCGTTCCAATGGGCAAAATACCTGCTCGTCCAGCAAAGATCCTCCATAGGGCGGCCATTTTCGGGTGCCTGTGCAGCGAAAAATGCCTCCTAAAAACAGCGGGGAGCCATTTTGAGCAGCCGGCGGCCATTTGAATAGTTTCCTGAAGCAAGGAACCAATTGTTGGGAAGCAAAAAAAAGCCCATTAAAACATCATTTTGCGATCATAGTTGCGATCGCAAAAACATAGTCGTGAAGCGGATTCGTCATCAAGGGGGGGTAATCGTTAAGTAGGGCACCATTGTATCAAGGGGGGGTAATCGTTAAGCAGGGCACCATTGTATTGCCATTTGAATGGATGTAGAATCAGTTCTAAAAGTGCAATCCTATGCTATTAATCCGCTGTCAAACCATCTCAACACTTTTCAAAGGTATCAGATTGCGCAAGGCTGCTGTACACACTACAGGGAGGTAAATCCTACTGAACTCAAGAGAGAGTTGCTCCTGAGTAGACCAAGCATAGGTCTGTGCTGTGAATCTGGCAGGGCCCTCCTTGAGTCTTCCAGATAGCTTTACGGCATTTAAGAGTCTGGCAAAGGCTTCTTTGTTCACAGTTGATTGGCACAGAACAATGGATGGGCCGGAGTTGTTGCAGTGGGCCATTCCACATAATCCTTTCTCCACTCTTCCATGAAAAGATGTCTCTATGTACCTTAGCAAAGGACTGTCTGAAGAAAATCTCCAAGATGTCCTTTCTCTGCTTCTTGGTGACCGCCTTCTGCAGCAGGAGCTGCTCCTTCATCTCGGAGATTTGGAGAGACACCCTGTTTCTTTCCAGGTGAGTTTTCAGTTGTCCGAGAAAGTCCTTACATTCTGCTTCTCCATTAAACACCAGCACCTACAAGGCAAACACATCTCCATTTAGATGAGGACTTTTCCCGTGGCCCTTTCTACTCATGCTGCAGAGAATCCAGCTTATGAGTTGCACATTGGAGCATGGAGGGAAAGAGAGCCAGCCATGCCCTCAACTAGGAAACGCCCTGCTGTTCCCACCTCTGAATTTCTAGCTTCCTTCCAACAATCAATGCCCATTCCCTGGTCTATGGGGATATGCAGCTTTTTTTGTCTCTTGCTTCCCAATTTCCATGGACAATTTTTCTGTACTTCTGTAAACCACTGAATTCTGCCAAGCTTGCTGATTCTTCCCTGTATATAGATGGTGCTGTTTTGGCTACATAAGGATTCACACTCAAAAAGTGAGTTCTCGCTTCAAATGTAGGATTTCCATCTATTATTTGTGTGTGTGTGTGTGTGTGTGTGTGTGCAACTTGCCCAAGGCTACCCAGGTTAGCTCTTCTCCCAGGAGGCACAGTGGGGAATTGAACTGGCTACCTTTGGCGCTGCAGCTAGATACCTAACTCACTGAGCCATCCAGCCAGCTCCATCTATTATTAAAATAGAGCAATTCTGAACACAAGAGAGTAGTGCAGAGTTAGACAGAATATTAATGGAAATCAATTCATCTGTTCTAAGCAGGATGAAAATATGTTCAGTCATACCGACCGACCAACCAACCAACCAACCA